CTCGCTGTGTATTAGTGGTTTATAGCCTTGATTGGGGTTGAATGATTAAAATAAAATTGTTCAAATGAATAGGAATGAAGATAAACCAATACAAAACAGAAACCATGATCCGAAATTAGAATGAAAGAAATTATGGTAGCTACCTTGAATATAGCATAACATTCGGAATGTGAAATTAGTAAATACTAAGCAGTTTATATATGTCAGTACATCGACTAGTTATAACAGATTTTGCATCAGAGTTAAAGAAATTGAACATGGGCGTAGTTTTGCTGAACATGACAAACTACTATAGAAACGAAAACTTTAAACTAACATCTCAAATCAAGTACTTAAATAGCCTCGTAAGATCGAGGCTTTCATCTGGATGACAGGCATGGCGTCAGAAATATCTAAACTGCTTCTGGCGTACGACCGCGTTCTCAGATCAATGGTTAAAATGACTTCCAAAGACCTAATCATGTATATGTCTCATAGATGACTATTCTTTGTAACTTGCGGACTGGTCCTAGGGCATTACGAACAAAGTTTCAAATAAAAGAAACACTATCACTTGAGGATTTTAACATCATCAGCTACTAAAATGGATACAATTCTCAAAATGTGTGTATGTATGTGTGTGTGATCGGATCTTGTTTATGCGTTTCCACAGTTTTCATACGATTTCGATGATTTTTTTTTCCTGTTTGATAGATAATTCTTCAGTGCCGGTAAATGTTATTTAATACTGTTTATTATAAACAGAGCATTTACTTAAATACTTGTATCTATAAAAAAGAACGTTAAACATAAAAAATGTCTTTCATAAATATATATTTATATATTATAAATAAAAATTATTATTATTATGGCGGTCCATGGAAGAGATCCGTTCCTTGCAAGATTGAGAATGCAAAAAAACGACCGTTTTCAGGGCCACAATCCATTCAAATTGTTACACCCTGATGTTCCTCAGTTGCACCCAAATGTTGTTACTAATATTGATTTTCGGGTGGGCTGACCTTAAACTTAAACTGACCAATTAAACCGCAAAATTTCCCAGTAATAAAACACCCGGTCGAAGACGGGTTACTTCTAGTATATATATATGTATAGTTCTGGATATCATTGTGAGGAGCGTGAAAACTCTTCTTAATTGCTGCTGTACCAAATCTGTTCTGACTCGGCTACTAGCAACTGTTAGGGATTAAAATATGCGCAAAAAGCGAACCTCACAAACAAAACAGTACGAAAGTATAAAGAATACATGATGTGTGTAAAAATACAAGCAATATGTTTTTGTAAAAAAATACCAACAATAGATATTTACAGTAGAAGTAATAACAATCCATTTCATAGCAAAATGGTCAGCAATGCATTTTATTTGTAGTTGT